GAAAGTTGCTTTCGCGCGCGGATTTTTTTGTCTCTACATAGCAGTCAGTAATTTGATTATAACTTTCTCTTTCGATATCCAATTTAGACGATTTAAAATTATTTAGAAAGATAACTCAAAGAGATGTAACTTTGTTATAAATATCTCTTTTCCAATTCGGACTTTTACTTTGCCAAAAATGGGTCTCAATCTTCAACTAAAAATCTGGAATATATCTTATGCGAATTGAAAATTGATTTTGATAATATTCCATTCCTTTTTAACATTTAATTGCTTCTAATCGACCCTTAGCACTCTCAAACCTTCATCGTGAGCCCCAACATAATTTTGAGTATTTGCATTTTAGTCCCTAAACTTTCACTTTCTTCCATTTTGTTCATTTTTCACTTGTTTCTCCTTATTTCCGCTATATTCATCACTTGTCCTGCAAAACATGAATTGCATAGAATTAAGCTATATTCCAATATATTAATCAACAATTGCTCATATTTTGACAGTAAAATAAGTATGTAAAAACGTACTTATCAAAAACTTTTTTTTTTGATAAAAAATTAAAAATTAAAATTAACTTTAAATGTGGCGGGTAGTGAGCCGGGAACCATGTTTCCTGTGCCCGCTTTGGGGAAATGACATATCACGTCCATACCCCGTTTATTCGATTAGATGGGTAATTTCAGCCCCTTCGGAGAAGGAATCGTGTGTATCAGATTAAATGAGTTTTTTCCCATCCCTAATTTAGAGGCCACCAAAACTTAGGTAGCTCAAACTCAATATGGATGCCAGTGTGAAAGAACGGATGACTTTGCGGGTATTGGAGTGGTCATAATAGATCGTGAGGAAAGAGTGGTGAGAGCTATGTCTAGATAGGGGATATGTTCTTTCTCTGTAGTAGATGTTAAATGCCTAGCCCTCCACGAAAGCTGATTGTGTGTTCAACTAAACAGTCTTGTACTACACTCTATTGAGTGTGATGTATAAGGTTATTTTAAAGTGGAACCCAATTAAGGTGATCTAATAAATAATTAAATTGTTGGGCTCAGGGTATCTCAATAAAGTGTGGGTCGGATTATATGTGTAGAGACCGGATTCATTAGTGTTGTATTTGATGATGTGCTAAATACATATAGAAACTATAAATAGGGTTATAATCCCCAATTAATATGCAACTTCTCATTCTTTGTGCCATCTCATCAATACAAGAATACAAGAGAAAGTACATTGAAGTGGAAAATCCAAAACCACAATCAAGAATCTATAAAAATGATTAGAGCAATTAAATTGAATAACAAGACAATCAAGATTATGGAACAAGAAGCAAAAAATCAAGACCAATAACTTAAGAACAAAAAGAGCCAATAATTTGGAATCAAGATCCAATATTAAAAAATTATTCTCAAAGAATTAAGGTATGTTTCGAAGAATTAAGTTTTTTTGGTGATTTGACACGAAGGATCTTAACAATAAAATAATTAGGTATTTAGTTTTATAAAGTTAAAAGTTTCAACTTGTGATTCTTTTGAGATCGTAAAACAACTAAAATGAACTGTCAATTTGTACAAAATTGTGCTTCTTCACGATATTTCGGAGCTTCTTAGGGAGGATGGTAATGATTCTTGTAGCTTTGTTTGTAAGGGAAATACGATGGCCCATGAGGTGGCATCTTATGCTCTTGTGCATAATGTATTTTAGCCCCTCTTTGACGTCATTATTGGGGAAAAATAGAGTTTTAAATAATGATTTTTAGGAGTGTGTTATTAAAAGGTAGGTAAAAGTTTTGAACTTATTACAGAATAATTTATTGTGTAAATATATGATTGAAAATGAGTATGTAAAGAAGAAGTTTGAAAATAATGGTTATCAAGATGACCATATTTTGTATGCATTGTTTGACACGATTTGTTGCTCGTACTACAGTGAATGATATTAAACTCTAATATCGGATTCTTTTAAAAAAAAATAAGGAAAAAAACTCATTTCTATCTTGAGATTTGAGAATAATTGTTCATAAAGTAAGAACTTATTCTTAAATTCCTTAAAAGGATAAGTAATTTGTCAAAGTGCATCTAATAAATTTTACCACCATGTTACGCAAACATGTTCAATGATATGTTAAAAATAGGGGGACATGTGTCGACACACGATTGGACAGTTTGAAAAAAAATACAACATTCAATTATTATATGTCACACCACCTTGTCACCTCTATCACTGTCCTTGAGCCTGTCCAATGAGCATTATTCTAAATTTTATTCTACTTGTGCTGGTTACTCGATTATAAATCAGATAGGAATTCGGATATTCTTTTTTTTTTTTTTTTGTCTAGTCCTTCATATTTCACACACCTTGCCCGTCATTGTGAATTCTAACATTAACAACAATAAATTATTTCCTAGTTCGACTCTGAGGGACAAGTTTAAGTACTCGTTCAAAGATGAAATTTCTGAAATTTTTGTTTCCTTTTTTCATGGAACATTTTGAAATATTTGAATTTGATCTTTATTTCGACAGAGGAAAAGTGAAAGAAAATCATTTTTCTCGAATTTGACCTTTCTTTTCCCTTTCTGATACAATTTCTATGTATAAAAACTTAATTTTGAGCACGTGATACAATTTAATAATTGATATGTTTTTCATTTATTATTGCTATTATTTATTTATGGTATCAAAATCGACAAAAGTATATGACATGCCAATTGTAACTTGCACATAATAATAATAATAACAATAATTTAGGGATATCGAGCCAAAGGTGATATGACAAACCGACACACCTAAAAAGGGTAATTTGTGTACAAATTGCACGTGTCGAGCTAAAGATAATCTAAAATTAACTTAAAATTGGATTTGTATCATTTCGACACATTCTGGTCTACACTTTTTAAGTCTAAGAAGGCGGCACGACCAGTCCCAACTACGATAACTTGTGCTAAAAAAAACATTTTAAAAAACGTCGAGTTAAGATCACCTTAAAACTAGATTATATCGTTCACATGTAGTCTAGTTTAAAAGGAAGAAGACACCCTAACTCGTCCCAACGGGGATGAATAGTGAAAGAAAATTTCCATTTAAAATACATTTGAGTTAAAAGTGACATAAAATCACTTTAAAATTAGAATCACCTTAAAATTGAGCTGAGAGGTGGAGGGGAGTAGGATTGATCAAGGAAAAATTAACATTAAACCCTGTATGATAGATATTAAAACTTAGATTTCAATTTAAATCAAAGTCAAAAATTAATTCTCGCCACGTATATTTCATGAGATCTATAATTTTTTAATCATATATTTATTAACTTTTTAAAAATTTATTAAAAATTTAATTTTTATGAATTCTCTTGTCACGTAGTTTTTATCCAATTGAAGACGAGAGATCAACTTTGTACCATTTATACGTGTAGCTGAAACCGAAAGGGATTATGGTCCTACTAGGTTTGGTCTTCCGGAAGAGAGTAACATATATAGGAATTGGTCGCGCCTCCTCTCTCTCTCTCTCTCTCTAAACCAAACAGTGCAAATACACCTATTTCTCTCTCTCTTTCTGTGCCTAAAATCAGCAATTTCCTCTATCTTTTACTACTCCTTTTCACCCTTTTTCCTTCTTCCTAGACAATATTAAGCACACACGCATGTACGACACATATAGATACACATCCCTCACTAGCTGCGTGTGTGTGTGCTGAACCTTTGCATGTATTTCATCAATGATTCAATTATCGGGTAATGTGAAATGGTTTAGTGTTTGATTACTTGGGATTACATTTTTTCGTTCTCTCTCTTTCTCCTATTCCCATCTGATTTAGGTTTCCGTTTTTACATAACATAATTACGTATTGATTTTGCCTTGGGGTGTACAATTATTATTTTGCTGGTGTTTTTATTTTTTTTATGCTGGGTTTTCTATGTAGAACACCATTCTATCCTGATCTTGCTTCACTCTCAGGTCTGTCTTTTTATTTTTCTTATTTTTTCAGCTTCATCTTCTTCTTTTTTTGGGTACATATATACACATATTTGTACGTGTTTAGAATATGGGTTGCTGCAAATATTGTAATTTTCTGGGTATTTTGTGAATCTTTGGCGATAACGAAAGAAAGCTTTTGAATTTTCGGAGTTTTTTAGTGTCCTTTTTTCAAAAGAGAATTGAGGGTTTCTTGTAGATACACGATGGCGTTAAATCAAGAAGAAAAATTGTTTTCTGAAGAAAAGCTTGATGATGGGTGTTCAATTGAGGAATTTCTGGATAGAAAGGGTAAAAATCTGGACCAATCTGTTGAATCTGATTCCGAGAAGGTGTGTGAAGATATTGGTGATATTTTGCCTAATGATCCCTTCGGTATGGGGGTTACTGTAGGTTTACCTACCGATCCATTTGGTATGGATTTCAATATTGGCGCCACTGTCGCTGCAATAACGGGTTGGATTGAGGATATTGAGAAGGATTTTGGGAGAAAGAGTTCTGGGTTCGAGAAGGGTGAAGCTTCTGAGGATAAAAAGGCCGATAACAAATTATTTGCCGGACTGAATTTTATTTTGAGCAGCTCCGTGAAGTTTGAATCTGAAGTAGGAGATGAAAAGGTAGTCGATCAGAACTCAGTTGATTTGGTTATGGATTCTGATAATGATTTGGATCATGATTTGTATGAACACCATCTGTTGGGTGGTAATATAGAGGAGTTAATACGTTTTGGATGTGAAAAATATTCGATATCGAGTGACGATAAGAAAGCAAACGAACTTGTCACAAATTGTAATGATGGCAATGAAGGTGCTCCGCCTGATGCTTTGTTCTTTGCACTTGGTTATCTTGGTGTGAGGGACCTACTTTCTGTTGAAAGGGTTTGCAGATCTCTGCGGGATGCTGTTCAGAATGATCCCCTTTTGTGGAGAGATATTCAAATAGATTACCCATTGAATGTTAAGATCACTGATGATGCTCTTGTGGAGTTAACGGACAGGGCTCAAGGGACTCTTCGCAGCCTCAACCTTGTCGACTGCTTCAAGATCAAGGATTCGGGTCTGAAAAGGGTGCTCGAAAAAAACCCGAGGTTGACCAAGGTTTGTAACCATAAATGGAATCTTTGTTACTGTATCGGCTGTCTCGTATGCTTCATTTATTTACTTTCACTACATTTTTCCTTTTTTTTGTGCCCTTTGTTTTTTCAATGTGAGCATATCTCTTCCTTCATAATGCTACATTCAGTACTGTGCATCTATAACTCTATAACTAGCTACTTAACTGGATGATCTATTTGCTGTAATGAAATTTTAATTGTATCGGAATTATGAAATTTTGAGTTGCATCTTATAGCTTGTTTGTACCTTGACAACATGTTTGGTATGCAATATTAGACAAGATTGGATGGGACTATAACGTAAAAAAGAAGTTAAAATCTTTTCTGTTATATTTGCTGGAACTCAAGCTTCATTTATTTATTGTCTTTGCATTTTTCTGTTTTTATATTTTTTGGTTTTTAGCCACAATGTTTTCTATGTACTCGTGCATCTTCCTTTATAATTCTATATTTTCCTTGGTATTGTACATCTTAAACTTGCTGCTTAACTGGGTGAACAATTTGCTATGCTGAATAGTATTTTAATTATGTTGGAATGATGGAACTTTGAATTATATCTTGTACCTTGTTTGTGAATATGCTATTTGTTTGATATTTTCTTTTATTGATAGGATGAAAGAAAGCACACACCAATAAAGAAAAAACAAAACTTTGTTAAAGAATTGTTTCTCACTATGACACGAACCATACTGCACTCGGGATAAAAGCCAAGCGAGAAAATTAACTATTGTGTTTTGCATATTTTTCTCACTTGGAGTTGTTAATGAAATATCACGCTGCAATGCCAATGACATCTCTTTTATGAAATGCATGGTTCATATTTTATTAGGGCTTTTGCGAATTTAAATATTAGAGCTTTGAATTCAATCGTTTATATTTTGAAATTCAAAATAATTGATGGGCAAAAGTAACGAGTATTTGTGGTTCTCACTTTTTCTGTTTTTGTAAACCTGAAACATGAGTTAGCGTTTAGGAAGTGAAGATTGTTATTTCTTGCAACTCACACCAATTTTCCTTTCATCCTTCTCGAATTATTTAATTATTTCACATTTGGGATCTAATATATTGCTCAGTAGATATTAGTGTACTTGTTTGTCCTCAGTTTTTGTTGCGAACTTGTTGTTTAAAAAATAAATAAATAGTTGGTATCATCTTTTGCTTAATTTTTTTAAATGAACTTATAGATTTGTTTCATTGTCTATATGCAGTTAAGCGTACCGGGATGCATTAAACTTAGCATTGAAGGTGTTTTGTCTAACTTAAAGTTCTTCAAGTCTTCCGGCAAGACTGGTATCGAGCATCTGAGAATCGGTGGAATTTGCATTATAAAAGATGATCAATTAGAAGAGTTGAGGCTTTTAATAGGTGCAGATAAGGACAAACAGGGCAGTGCCAACAAACCGCGTTTCTATTGTTATGGGCAGTTGTATCTATCATTGGATGATGAATGTGCGATTGACGTTGAAACGTGTCCGAGATGCCAGCAAGTGAGACTAGTCTATGATTGTCCAGCCGAGAGTTGCCAGAAAAAGCCCCTCACCTCACAATCATGCAAAGGTTGCACTTTTTGCATTGCTCGCTGTATCAATTGTGGGCGCTGTCTAAATGATACTGATTACGAGGAGACATTCTGTCTGGACTTGATTTGTCTGGGTTGCTGGATGGATATCTTGAATTGTCAGGAGGGAGTCATGCTTTCACCGAGAAACGCTTATGTTCATCAGCAGGCGAGTTACTGCTTTTACCTCTATGGCTAAACAACATTTCTTTTTCCGGATATGACTTCAGGCAATATAGTATGACTTGTTGTATTCGGTGGAGCCAAAAGGATAGAAATTGAAGCCTCGATTGCAACTACTGATTCTCATGTTTTGGAAAGTTTCATGTGCACTTATTATTGCACCTCTGGCGAGGTGGATTACACAGCACTCGACCGTATAAGAAGAAATGAAAAGCCAAATTCTTGTCCATTGTACTCTCTATACTACACAAGGGAAGAAGTTGCGGAAGAGGAATTGGTTTAACGTGTCGACTATGTATTGATGGATGGCAGGCTGATATTAAAAGTTGATTAATGGGACATATTGTAAAATATTAGGGAGAAAATACTAATGCTGTATTGTAATAATGTTAATTCGGGGATTTATGTCTAGTCTTTGTAAGGGTGCTATAATGCTGCTTTTCCATAGATGGGAACAACGTTTCTTGCTTGGGATGTATTCTCTTCTGATCCATGTCATGAACGTCACATATTATTACATAAGGAAAAACAAATACTTATTTTGATACTAAGGTACAAGATACTCTCAAAATGAGTAAATTCTAACTTACATCTGAAGGAACATTCAAGTAAGTATAGCATAATCCTGTCATTCGTCAAAGCTCATACTAACCTTGAGCATCTTGAATCTAAAGAACGATTTAGTAGAGCCATAAGCCACTTGCAACGGAAGTGGCACTTGCATGACTATTTTCATGCAATCAACTAATATCGTTTTAGTCAATATTTGTCTATTTATCGTTGCCAGACAATTTACGTCTATTTTTCATTATAGACAATGTACTTCACGAGTTGAGATTTGTTGTCAATTTTTTTTGTCCATCCAATTGTGAATTGACACATCATGAAAAATTAAACTTGTCACCAATTTTAATTTTTCATGATGTGTTAATTTGTAATTGGATGGACAGTAAATTTAGCAACATAAATAGATGATAGATCTCAACTTGTGCTTCACCATCAAATGGATCAACCCTTCAATTGAGAATGCATCGCGACCAATATTGTTGTCTCCACAGTCATGAGATGAACAGTAAAAATAATGCATTATACAGCTAAAATTATCTTTGATAGTAAATATTTCTCTCTCTCTCTCCCTGCCCAAAAACGTAGCTCCGCCGGGAAGAAGGTCGCCGGCACTGCTTCGTTGGGTGCAGCTCCACCGCTGTGCAGTGGCTCTTCGATCTCCCCCCACATGATAGCCGTCGAGGGCTGCTGAGAGTTCTCAGTAGCGTCGCCTACCGTTATTCTTCTTCTTCTTTTTTTAATTTTAAGTCGACATGTGGGGAACTTTTTGAGGATGAAGAGGTACGACGGAAATGGTAATGTGTCATTGGTCGATTAGGCTGTTGATTTGAGGTATGAGTGTGTGGAGTTGGATGCTTACTAGCGAGAGGTGGAAGATTTGGCCGAGGTGATGTGGTGGAGATGTGGGTTGCGGTGTATGATAATGGTGGTTGCGACATCGCAGTGGTAGGTTTGGAGACGCTGCTGCTGCTTAGAGAAAATTTGGTGTTGATGTTGGTATTGGTGGTGGCGGCAGTGGTGGCCGTAGTGATAGAGCTTCGAGTACAGATTCAGATCCCGCTACAATTGGTGGTGTGGTGGTGTTTGTAGGTGGTTTTTTTCGACAGTTATTTTTGGTAGTGGAGGTGCTATTAGGCTGTGATGGTGGTAATTATAATAGTGGTGATGGTTTAAGCTATGGTGGTGTGGCGTGGTCGCTACTGTCATGGTGGTTGTGAAGCAGTGGTGATTTTTGTTTGTTGTTGGCGGTGGTAGTTATTCTAGTGGCGGCGTTGGCGGTGGTGTTGATTTGTGGAGAGTTGCTGGCTGTGTTGGCGACGTTGGCGATAGTGCTGCTGGAAGGAGTGGTGAGGTGGTAGTCACAAGTGTTGGTTGTGACCTGTTTGTGACCCGTTGTGACCCGTTTGTGACCGATTGTGACCGTTTTGTGACCGTTTGTGACCAGTTAATTGTGAGTCGTTGTGACCAATTGTGACCGATTATGACTTGAAATTCTGGAATTTTTTTTGGAAATTGGAGCAGTCGAACAGTTGTCGGAGAGGCTGCCGGATGATCGGCCAGAACAGTCGCTGGAACAGTCGATGGAGAGGTCGTCAGAGTGATCGTCGGAAGAGTCGCCGAAGTAGATGACCGGAGTAGAAGGGGTAGAGAGAGGATAAAGAGTAGAGAGAGAGAGAAAATGATTTGGATTTGAAATTTAATAAATTGAGATAATTGTATTATATTATAATTAAAAATATTTAATAAATTGCTTTAACACCTGATTTTTGAAAAGATTTTGAAGTTTGTTATTTATGAAATTAACACCTGATTTTTGAAAAAAAATTTGAAGTTTGTTATTTATGAAATGTGATCTTTAAAATAAGGAATTATGTATTGTTCCCTATATGAAAAGGAGCGTTTTTGATGACTTGAATTAGATGATATTAAATAAAAAATTATTTATGTATTGTAAGTTTCAAGGAAAAAAATATATATTCATTTCAAAAGAGTTATATTAACTGGTGAACAATTTAGTTAACTAAAATGGTCTGATCTAAATTTCCATATTTTAATCGAACAAAATCGTTAAACGTGTCAAACTCAATCATACCTCTAGTCAATATATTAATCTAAATAACATTGGTATGTAGATTTTGTTTTTATCAAATCAGAATCAAAACATTAATTTCATTCATATATTCATAACTACTAGTCATTTATTATTTACAAATTTCGTGAAATCTACTACTATTTCTCATAAAAATTTACTAATAATTTAGCTATATAAATATCTAAACCTAAACCAATAGGTAATAAAGTATTGTACCTAGTCCTTATCCAAAAATGGTAATATACCTAGTGTGAGGATTGGAGAGAGAATATTGCTAATACTGAGAGAGTAATCTCGTAATAATTCGGTCTTTGTGCCCAAACAATTAATTTAATTATCGTCTACTCTGTAAAAGTTTGAGTTTATCTTATCTCTCTCGAATTTTTATTACATTTCCATAATTCGAAATCAAGACTACTTTATTTACTTAAATTGAATCCTAGTACCAATTGAACAATTGTCTAATAATTACATTGAACAAACAAAATCCAATTTCAACTCTTGCCCTTGATTGAATCCATCTCCTTGATTAACCCTCCCTTCTTGATCGGTCCCATCCCCCCCAACCCCATCACCTCTTGTCCTCCACTATCCCTTTCTCACATTGCCGTCACCATATCAAATACACCCAACAGCTATGCTATTTGTACCGAAATGATTGACATAAGATGTTGATCGAACACTCACAATGAGGTCACTTTTTTCTGAAATTTTTTATTCACGCGGGACCCACGCATATGTGAGAGGACCGTGCTACAAGTACCTAATCATTTACACAATACATTACATAATTGACATGTAACGCATATCTATCGGTAGTCTACAATTTTTGACTATTTCACACTTCACATCAATTGTCGAATTTCTTCCATATGGACCTATGTAATCCATTATGTACATATAGATTTATCCTATGTTAGAGGTTGTCAACCTCTTCTGTCGACTATTTCCTGTACAAATGGAAAAATTCCTACACCCAAAGGTCTCCCCACCTCTCATGAAACCCCCTTTTTCTTTTACCCGAAACAACCCAACCAACCACCACACCACACCACACCACACCACACCACAACTAAGCTAGATTAGGTTGCACATATCTCTATAAAAACCCAACCGAAAATTCCCCCAGTCACCCAATTAAAGTTTTCAACCCCACCACCATCCTAACTCCTTCCACACCATCTGAGATGTTGCACATATAAACAAAACATGCGAAGTCATCTCCAAACCCCTCACCCCCCAGCAACCACTACGACAACATAAACCGGTCTTCAATAGCCTTCATCGAACCAGATTTGTCCAATAGGCACCACTTCTAGGTACTTTCTGGATTAATTTTATCAATGACAATTACACTTTAACATTAAATTTTCATATTTCCACTGTACTTTAACACTCAACTTTAACCACATTAGTTACATCCATTTTTCAAATTTAATTATGTGTCTCCTAACTTTTAAATTGCTTCATTTGCATGACTAAACTTTAATAATAATTTCAGTTGCACCATAGCAGAATGTCAAAAACACAAAATCTTCTAAAAATTAGACGAGTGCTTAATGTAATAGTGTAACTGAAACAATATATCAATTTAAGCAATATAAGTAACTTACCCCATCTTTTTGCCACAACTTACAAACACAAATGTATTAACTCAATAACATTCACCCCGGACTTCGAATTTCTGGACAACTTTGATAGATTACAATTATAGGCAAATTTCATGAAGCTTGGTACCGAGATCCAGTTTTCAGTATCATAGCTCTAATTTAAAAATAAAAATAAAAATAAAAATAAAAATCCCTAATATATCCCAGTTGGGTGGTGAAAACTAAATGAACTTGGAACTTCCACAAAAATGTACGTTTGATACTAGTGACTAATGGTTTCACAACAAATTACTTCTAAAATTTTAAAGTGTTAACCCCACTAGCTAGTATAGGCTAAACAACATTTCTTTTTCCGGGTATGACTTCAGGCAATATTAGTATGACTTGTTGTATTGAATAAAGGAGATATTGCATTGAAGATTTTGTATTCGGTGGAGCCAAAAGGATAGAAATTGAAGCCTCGATTGCAACTACTGATTCTCATGTTTTGGAAAGTTTCATGTGCACTTATTATTGCACCTCTGGTGAGGTGGATTACACAGCACTCGACCGTATAAGAAGAAATGAAAAGCCAAATTCTTGTCCATTGTACTCTCTATACTACACAAGGGAAGAAGTTGTGGAAGAGGAATTGGTTTAACGTGTCGACTATGTATTGATGGATGGCAGGCTGATATTAAAAGTTGATTAATGGGACATATTGTAAAATATTAGGGAGAAAATACTAATGCTGTATTGTAATAATGT